AACACATTATATGTATATTCTATAATAATATAATAAGGAATAATATAGTAAGCAATTATAATATTATGGGAGTACAAATTAGTTCGATCCGTTTTTTTGTGTTCAAAAATGCATTTATTTCAAAACAAAATGAATGAACAGATTAATTAAAGTGTTGTCCATCGTTGACTACTATTTTTTCCCATCTCTCAGGCAATTTTCGAATTCCATCTCGAAAAAATGACTCGTCTTTGGAGGCGATCAAATTTTGGAGCCAATTTTCGATTTCTGCGAAAGAAGTGAATCGGTGACTTGCCAAATCCTTCGGAACCAGTAATCAGAAGGAGCAATGTCCGGAAAATACGGCGGATGTAGTAAAACATCTCATTTCAGCGTTTCCAAATACTTTTTTAACGACTTTTGCGACATGAGGCCGAGCGTTGTCATGAAAAAAATAACTTTATCATGTCTTTGCTCATATTCCGACCGTTTTTCTCGCAATGCACGGCTCAAACGAATCAATTGTAGCCGATACCGATCGCCCGTAATGGAATCACCAGGTTTCAGCAGCTCATCGTAACAACACCCTTTTGGTCCCATCAGATACAGAGCATGATCTTCGAACCATGAATGTTCGGCTTTGGTGTTGATGTTAAGGTCGATGGCAACGATTGACCGGGCTTAGCGTAGTATTTTTTCTTCTTGGAGTTGTCGTAGAATATCCACTTCTCCTTGCGTTTGACTCTGATCTTCTTCGAGTAATGCCTCTAATTCTTTGTCTTCGAATTTTTTTGGCTGAACCATTTGCGGAAATAAGTGACTCAATTGATGAGTCAAATTCTCAAGACGAGCTCACGCTTGTCGTGTGATGTGATATGAGGTATAATGATCGACGCTTTTCTTGTAACTATAATGATGAATTTTATTACTCGAGCTCAAATGAATATGACCGTACAGGATGAGCGCCATAATCTATCTGTTCTTATTTTTTTCTCTGACGCTGCTTGTAGGCAACTCGCAACCTACAAAATCCCTAGGCTTACTACAATACATTCGCTGCGCTAGTGAGGTATTGAGAACATAGTTCTCTACATACTCCCCTCCGAGTGACAACGAATCCAAACCTTATGCTTTATTTACTAGGTTAACAAAATATTGCTTTAGTGACAGGTACATTTATAATGCCGGCACTTAGGTCTGCCATATAAAACATATCATTTAAAACATATTATATTATATAAAATATATCATTGCTTGTCTTTGGTGTCTCTGTCTTAAGCTACATATTACATTTACATTTACAATTACATTTTGTCGTTGGGAGGATTTATTATAATTATATGGCGAAGGTGACTTTTTTCTTCGGACGCGCATACGTTTTTAAAGTTAGTTGCTCGTTGCTGAACGAATTGGTTGATTGCCCTGCTTCTAGGATTGCACTACATAAGTCATCGCGTATGCCATACGCTGGTTTTAAATTTTCGACCGATACACTGCGCTGTGTACCGTTAACGTCAATGTCGAATACTCGATCCGACACACTATTTACGATTTTGTGAGGGCTGGTGTAGGGACGCTCTAACGCTCTCTTGGTACCACTCACCTGTAGAAACACATGGGAACATAAATATAAATTACTTTAAATCCGAAGCGTCACTACGGTCTAAATATTAAGATGTTGAACTAATATATATATTTTTCAAACGAATGAATTAATTTCAGAAATAATAATTACGTGTCGATATGGTTGTCGACATTAACGCAATTCATCTGAAATGTTAATAATCCCCCCAAAATTCCCCCGTAGTGGCGCTTCGGATTTAAAGTAATGTTATTTAACATAAACGGTCTTGTTTCCTATCTTATTGTTTATAAACGCGCGCTGAAATAATGCGTTACTCTCGATACATATCGGTTATTGCGAAAAATTATTGCTAAGATCTCGATAGTCTAAAGGTTCAGGACGCTCACACGGAATGCAAGAGATCCGGGTTCGACTCCCGGCCGAGGCAATATTTTTTCGCAATAAGTTTATTACAGTTTTTTAAGATTAATTTGGGGAATTTTGGGGGGATGTTTGAGATCGGTAATTCGAAAGAAAGGCAAGAATTCTTTCAGTCGATCGACATTAATTGTCATTGAACGCATGCATAAATTGAGCTCGTGATTTCATCTCGAGCATGATCTTAATCTTCGTTAAAATCATCGATTCGTCGTTCTTTGTTCTTTTTAAAACAATTCGTTACACGCAAACAAGTTGTCGTTACCGGCAACGAACAATCGAAAGTTCTAGAACAATTCAATTCGCGCACGCGAGCGCCGCGCTCCGACGAATACGTCACGCGCTGTCACCAATCCCACGCACGGATTTTCTGTCGCGCATGACTGTTACGTTGAACGTCGTTAGAAAAGAATCCAAAGCGCCAATCAAGTTTGTACACCTAATGCCACGTAATAATTACGATTGTGGCAAATTTTTATTGGATTTCTTCCAAGAAGAAAGCCCAGACCGAAAGTAATAAATGATTCGATCTCGCCGTCCCTTAGGGCAGATTGCTTAGATAGTTTACATCGCTTACACCGTTTACACCGTTTAGAGTTCTTAAAGTCATAATCTCGCTTCGTAAAATCGCCGTGCTAACCGCTTAGTGAAATCGCGATAAAACGAATCTTTCGAGAAGTGCCGAGAAAATCGCCGAGATTTTCCATTACCGCAATACCAAAATATCATTTGGTAAAGGTGACCGCATTCAATATTCTGTTAATCTAATATTTAATTAATTAGATTTTTTGACTCTGTAACTGATCATATTGAAGAAAATTCTTTTGTTAAATTACAAAGAAACGGAGTTCTCTTTACTGTCGCGTATCATATCAACCTTGTGCCGTTTTCTCACTCGAACCTTTCCGCGCGGTGCGCTCTCGCACAGGGGATTATTAACATTTCAGATGAATTGCGTTAATGTCGACAACCATATCTACACGTAATTATTATTTCTGAAATTAATTCATTCGTTTGAAAAATATATATATTAGTTCAACATTTTAATACTTAAACCGTAGTGGCGCTTCGGATTTAAAGTAATTTATATTTATGTTCCCATGTGTTTCTACAGGTGAGTGGTACCAAGAGAGCGTTAGAGCGTCCCTACACCGGCCCTCACAAAATCGTACCCGATGGCGAAATCTGACTCGTCACAAACGAAGCGCGTCTCGGCTGCGTTGGAGGAGTGAGAGAATATAGTCGCGCCAGACTTTCCTTGCACTTAGTAAACGCTTCCTCAGCCGCCGATGTCCATATGATTGGTCGTTTGTCATTTTTGCGTGAGTCTTTCTGCGAGTTTCTTAGTTGTCACAGTATGGTTCGTTTTCATCGGGCTCCGCGATGAAATCTCTACAGCACGCGATGGCTTCGGCGTCCAAAGACATAATCACGTAATGCGCCCTAGTCTTTTGCTCTGTGATTCGTAAAGTCTCGAATGTGGCTTCGATTTGAATGAACCATATCATCGGATCTTTGATTAAGAATTTTCGGAATTTTCGGAATTTTCGGAACCCTATATGAATCCACGTGCGCGACATTGCTCTGCTGAGGCGCCGCTTGCAGCTGTGTCACCAGCGCCTGCAATTCCTCATAGATAGGAGGAGGCATGATTATACGTCTACCATATCGAAGTTTGCGAACAATCAGTATTTCCTAACGGCCTTAAATCCTAATCGCTCACGCGCGCGCTATGTAAAACTTCGATCGCTACTTAATATTAATCTATCAAAAATGGAGAAATCGTTATTTAATGTTCATGCATTAACCTCACGGAGGGTCTACTTTCCTGTTTTGCCAGATTACACGCGCTAAAAACTGACGTATTGCGCACGCAACTTGCCCGACTACAATGGCGGCGATGACGCGCTCGCTGGACACATTGGCGGCGATGTCGTCCTTGACAGGTCATAATGGCGGACTCAATTGATGAGTCAAATTCTCAAGACGAGCTCACGCTTGTCGTGTGATGTGATATAAGGTGTAATGATCGACACTTTTCTTGTAACTAATAATAATGAATTTTATTACTCAAATGAATATTATCATACAGAATGAGCGCCATAATCTATCTGTTCTTATTTTTTCTCTGACGCTGCTTGTAGGCAACTCACAACCTACAAAATCCCTAAGTTTATTACACTCGCTGCGCTAGTGAGATATTGAGAACGTAGTTCCCTACATACACAGTGCGACAAATATGTTCCCGGACAGGGCCTGAAAATCATAATTGAAACAAATATGCATATTTTTTGGTTTTATTATTCAAAATATTCTCCTCTGGCTTCAATACACTTGTTACAGCGATTCAATAGTGATTCAAATGCATGTTCTAAGTCTCTGCGATAGTCAGTAAGTTAGAACTCAGAAGTTGAGATTCCGAATTACTTTGTGTATTCCGCGAGACCGATACCGATCGCTGTTCATATCTGTGATAATTATTAGCGTCGTCAGATAATTACTTTGAGTGTATTTTCATAGTTCTTGTATTGTAACTTCGCGACGCAATGCCGGTATCCGAGTCGTCTTACACGCGCAATCACGTCTCTATTTTCTAATCTATATTTGTATTTAGTATTTAGTTAGTTTAATATTAAGTTTGTATTTTTATGCCTTATGGCATAAAAATTAGAAGCAGTGAGTAGCACTCATTCTCAACCTAACGATTTCCCGCCAATTGTCCTTCGCCTTTGGTTGGTAACCATCGGCGCCATATTGCACAGCAGTCGCTCCAATAGCCACAGACTGGTGACCCCGACGTGATTGCGTGGTGTTTTTCGCGCGTTTGACTTCTCGCGTGTTTAACCTTACGCGCGCGTCTAAATAAATCACTGACATGCCGAGTGGTTCAAGCGATTCCCCTGCGCGCAATCAAGACAACGGTGTATCGTCGCGCATAATCGAAATACCTGCGCTTTCGTGAGTCGAAATTAGATCCATGCCGTTTTGAAAAACGAAGCCAGACCTCTAGTTCGTACAAATGGAAGCTCAATTCCTCACCGCAGGCATAACTGCAGATGACACAAGATATAATTATGTGATACAATGCCTTGACGACGACTTTTTGTCTTCCGAAGTTAGCGATATCATACTCAATCCGCCCGTGATGGATAGGTACGTCGCGCTCAAAAATAGGTGAGAAGTTTCGCGGACAGCGCCGAAAAGAAACTGCGTAGATTATTAAACGAGATTGACCTAGGTGATCGCCGCCCGTCGCATGCTATCTTGTTTATGCGAGATCTCGCGCAAAATGGCGCATCAGAAGAGGTGCTCAAATCCTTATGGCTACAACGCTTACCACAACAAGTGCAGGGTATACTAGCGTCTAGCAAGCACGAACTCGAAGAGCTATCGCAACTAGCAGACCGAATAACGGACGTGCTATCCACCGGCGTTAATGCCGTCGCAACGGTTGCGCCGACGAAAACTAGTTCGGTAGATCCGCAAATATCCGCGCTTATAGATCGGGTAGATAAATTGGTAGTTCATTTATCGCGTGACAGATCACGGGCCTCGCGAAATTCTCGCAGAAGCCGTTCAAGGTCACAATCTAAGAACAAGCCGTGCTGGTATCATCGACGTTTCGGCGGTAACGCAGTCAAGTGTACGCAACCCTGCAGCTGGAAGCCGAAAGAATCAACGGAACAGGAAAACTAGAAGCCGAACTATCCCCGACGGCAGATGGCGAATCGCCGTTTGGTAGTCCGGGACCGCGTCACCGGCATCAGATTCCTAGTGGATACTGAAGCCGATGTCTCGACTATACCCGCCTCAAGACGCGACCTTGCGCATATTGGAAAACAGGTGTTCTACGCAGCAAACGGAACGATCATACATATGGACCTACATATGGACAGAAATTACTGCGGCTCGATTTGGGATTCCGCAGGGTTTTCCAATGGCCCTTCGTCATCGCCGAAGTGGACACATTCATAATTGGCTCGGATTTTCTAGCGCGTTATTTTGCTGCCTGACATCCGGCACAAGTGGCTAATTGATGGCGACACGTTCTTCAAGGTCAACGCACAGCTCGTTTGTAGAATCGTTCCGAAGTTGACAGCCTTCGCCGATGACTGCCCTTACAAAGAAATGTTAAATGAGTTCCCAGAGATAACCCGAGCATCGATTTCTCATAAGCAAGCCGCACATGGAGTAGAACACGTTATCGAAACAACGGGTCCCCCGATGTCAAACAAAGCCAGACGACTCTGTCCGGAGAAATTAAAAGCAGCCAAGCAAGAGTTCGAATATATGATGCAACAGGGTTTATGCAGGCCTTCCAAGAGCCCTTGGGCCAGCCCACTG